TTCTTCGTCCACTTGTCGTTTGCGGTAGTAGTTGATCACACGGTTGCCCATGCCAAAATTAGAGAGGACGGGCGGGGTTCTCTCACAGTATTCGAACAGGACAGCCGTGCAGTTGTCGGTGATACCCAAGTCCTTGGTGGATTGAAAAACCTCGTGGGCCTTACCCTTCTTAGTTTTCCGTTTGTGGTATGTAAGCTTGTCGAACTTAATTGTCTGCCTCTCATGTTTGTTGAAACGGAAGTTAGGTCGGTGATAGCCGTGGCCGCGAATGTCCAGCTTGACCTTGTAGTACGGCCAGGCTAGTCTCAGGGCAGGCATACTGTGCTCGACACCGAGGTTGCCCAGCGTCGCTCTGACCTTGTGCTTGTGGTTCTCCTTGAGGGCTTCGTATGCTTCGTCATTTGACAAGTTGAAGCGCTGGAAGATGTCAGGCTTCGAGTGCCCACTCGCCATACGAATGAGCGTCTTCTCGGTGCGCTGGCGCTTGGGACCTCGCTGAGACTCCGTTTCTTCAAGCAGCAGATAAGGATCGTTCATGTCGAGGACGACTCGTTTCGCGCCACGCTTCGTCATCTCTTGGAACAAGTCAAACGATGGCGCCGTGAAACGGGAGATGTCGGGCAAGCCAGCCGGAAGGGGAATCCGGACTTTCTTGCGAGGCTGTACAGCGTTGTCATCCTTCAAGAATAGTGCATCCCAATCGTCGTCCGACTGGTCATCGTCGACTGCAGCCCTCTTGTGACCTGTGACGTTCTCGGCTTCAGTCTGCGCAGCGACCTTGGTCTCGAACTCCTTTTCAGTATGGTCGATGTGCACCGCCCAGTCATCGCAAACCATGTCGATGTCCTGGAGGGTGAAGCCGCCGACAGTCTCCGAATCGGACTCGAAATCGATTTCCACGTCCTCCTTGCCATCCTCGTCTTCAGGATCCGGCACTGAACAGTCCACCAGATTTGATAGCTCAGCTGCGATCAGCCTCTGTTTTCGTGTAGCGGCGGCAGGCCCTGGCACCCTGAAGGCCTTCTCTTGGTCTGTCGCGAGTTCAAGCGTAAGCTTGCTGGTGATCAGAGTCTTGGGTTTCTTGGTCGGCTTCTTCTCTTTTCGGTAGGCCCTCTTGGGGGGGAGTAGCTCGTTCCACCGCAACGTGATACCGGTCTCGAACGCAGGCCATGTTTGTTTCACAAGCTCGCCAGAATCGCCGGGAGGAGGTGGGATGTCGGGATCCTGGTTTGTCGCAAGCGAGGAAGGGTCGGTGTTGAAGTTGAGGTCACGATATGACTCGGGGTCCTCGGGGTCATGGATATGTGGTCGCGGTGATGTGGCGTCGGCAGCAGGCTCGATGGGTGATGAAGGGCCATCGCCAAAAAGATCATCAGTGTCATTGCTCGTTCCTCCATCATCTGTCAGACCGGGCACGGATAGCGACGTTGCGCCCGTCGCTTCCTCCTCCTCCGGAAGGTCATCGTCACTGATATCTTCGTAGTCTTCGGCATTATCAGCCTTGTCGGTCTGGTCGAAGGGAGTGTCGTCGTTGAAGTTGATGCCGATGCCCTGCCCCTCCTCAGCCTTGGCAAGCAGGTTCTGGATGTTCTCGTCATCAGCAGCTCGCTGAGCTTTCCAGTCGACGTCGGATTCGGGCTCCTTCTTGGAGTCAGCAGCGTCGGCAGGGGCTGCATCGGGCACGATGATGTCCATCTCGTCGCCGTTGACGGGCGTAACGTCCTCGCTTGCAGACATCGCGTCGTTGCCTCAAGCACCTCCGAGGTGGCCCGCGAATGTCGAAGTGCAAGAGACCATGCCTCTCCGGTTGATCAAGGCGTCTCTGCAGCACGCGAAAACGATGGCGCGTTGGGCGATGCGGCTGGACAGCGTTTCAACCGATGGGCGACGAAAGCCAGGGTAGGTAGGTTGGAGAGTTCACGTTGAGGCTCCGAATTTCGTATGACTGGAGCGCGGTCGCTGCATGCGTGCCTCAGGCAGAAGGCGTTAGTGGCTTGCTGAGGGGTGGGTACGCGCCAGGGCGATAATCTGGGGGTGGGGCAGGATTGTTCCTGGCCGCGTCTCGACGTTTCTCTACCTTTGTAGCTGTTGAAGTGAAGATGGTCTGGGATGATTCAGATATTGCCCCATAGTATGTTACACCCGCCTTCCTGCTTGGGTTTTCTGTCTCAAGTGTAGAATTGTACAAATTTGTAGAGACACGTTCGTAATGGACGAGGTTGGCCTTGGTAAGGTGCAAGTAGGTGGCCTCGTGACGAAGGAAAGGTGTACTTGATTGACGGCCCGATTTCTAGGGTAGTAAGTCTCCAAGAGCACAGTACCCTCGTCGCGTGGTGTACAGAAGAAAGGATGAGGCAGTTGCCCAACTCGGATATGTCAGAACATGCTTTACTGTTCCAAGGTGTAGCTGAAGCCTTGGCTCGGGAGTACACGCCGTACGATTCCCACCCAGCGAATTTAAATGTATAAATCAATAAAATGTACGCAGACCATTGATGCAGCAACTTCAGTCGACAAATCAACCCCACAAGCACAGACTGCTGCAGGATACCACTGACGCGATTGCAAGAACAGTCACCTCGGCACTGCAACGCCAATTTTATGAATCACTTTACTCTAGTGCCATGTATCCGTACATCGCAAAAAAACAAAAACACATCCGTTCCTATTCGAGGCCGTTTTGTGTTCCGTGAGCACGTTGCTCATCCCAACTCCATACGCCTGCCGCACCCGACTACGCCGTGAGCCCCTCTCGGGCCCGCTACCCAATCCTCTCTGTCAGGCGGAGCACCATTGACTCGCCGTGCGTAATCGTCTACTTGCAGCGCTTCTCCACGATGTTGACACCGTTCTCCTCGTACTCCTTCCTCGAGATCCACATCTGGTGGAAGGTGCCCAGGCTCGCCAGGATGCTGCCTCCGATCCAGGCGCCAAAGCGACGCTCCGTGGTCAGTCCAGCGGCGTGAATCTTGATCTTGGAGCCGGGGAACATGGCCATGAGCTCGTTGTTCAGGCGGTCGTTGAATCCGTTGAGAAGACTAGTGCTGCCGGTCACGACAATATTGCCGAGCAGGTTGGGGCGCAGGTCAACATCCACGGCGTTGAGAGCACTGCGGATGAGTTCGGGAATGGTCTGCGACTTGTTGACTGTGGGCAGATCCTCTGTCGGGAAGGCCGCTGCTTCGTCCCACATGCCCTCGGAGACGCGGTACCGCTGCTCGCGCCACATCTGGTTGCCGCCGTTGGGGAACTCGTAGATCCGTCCGGGTTGCGTGCGAACATACTCCTCATTCTGAGGCGCCAGGAATTTGCCAGGGCCCCTCCAGGTCTCGACAACGGACTCCTTGAATTCGGTGATGACGCGTCCGTTCTCGTATTCGACGAAAGACTTGTCGATGCTGAAGGGGAAGGTGCGAGACTTGAATTGCGGAGGGGCGCCGGCATCGACGGGCGTCTTAGACTCGACCATGTAGGTAGGCACGACCTCGATCTTGGGTTCACTCGTACCGAAAAGGTGGCGGACCTGGTCCGAGAGCCACAGTCCTGCGACGGGAGATCGCTGGATAGAGCGCTTGAGGCACATGCCGTCGTGGATGGCGGTGACGGAAGTGTTGGCGCCACCAACATCGATGACCAGAGCGCTGGCCTTGCCGGCTGCGAAGGCCGAGAGAACAGGGGTGCGGCTCATCCAGAAGGCGGGGCAACCCCAGTTCTCCATGATGACCTCGATGGCCTTCTCCCTTGCCTTAGGTGTGTTCCATGGTGCCTCGCTCATCAGAAGTGGGTTCTCCTGCAGCGACTTCTCCTGCTCCTCCACGTCCTCCATGGCCACGTCGGCGGCCTCGCCGTTCTCTCCCTCGCCTTCCTTCGGATCATCGTTGAGGCCGTTCTTCGAGGGCGGGGTCTGCTTGAATGGTTGCAGTTGGTTGGTCAACATGTACTCCCACATCTTTGTGGCCGTGTCCCAGTCCTCCACCACGCTGTCCTTGTTCATGTAGTTGCGAACTTCGAAGTCGGGTCGCGCGATGAGGTATTCGTCACCGAAGAAATCCTTCTGGATGTCCTTGTTGGTCGTGCGGCCGTGGAAAGAGGGCAAGATGGACTTGGGAACGTCTTCGCCCGCGAAGCCGGCGCGCGTATGGCAGTAACCTGGGTCGAGCACCAGGGCGGAAACCTCGTCTAAGGTCAAGTTAGGAACATGCGCGGAGGGGCATTGAGAGGGACGGCGCGCTCACCTCCTCCATAGACGTCGGTCGGCTGCGCCGCCGACGACAAGGGTTGCTGAGACATCGTCGCAACTTGGGTGTTGAGGGGATCTGATGCGATTGTTTGACGCGAATTGAATTGAGGTCGTGGCGCGTCGGGTGGGTGATGGAAAGCGCATTGAAATGGCATGCACAGCTCGCGAACGAAGGTTGGAGAAGGAGCTATGTATGTATTTAAAAGCATCACTGGCTTAAGTGGAGTTTGTTTCTATGGTAAGTACTTTTCGTTTTAGTTACATATCTCCCCCAAGTCAAGTAGGAACTCTGTCAATGGATTATGGCCAGCATGCCAATACTTCGAGAAAGTTGCTTTTGGGTTACACGTTTTGGGACCATAACTTCAGTGTTTGTTGGATTTTCAGAGATCACGCTCTGGCATCCAGTCGAAGAGAGCGCGCGATCAACCGTACGCCCTGATCAAGCGACTCATGCACAAGCGGTAGCTACAAACCCTTCTCTCCACGACACGATAGTCATGACAATCCGAGAGCTGCATTCACAAAGACAAGTAATTTGCGCTCTCAGGATACACCGAGTTCCAGGGTTGGTGTTATCTATTGTGATGACCGAAGTTTCGTTTCGTCAACGATCGGGGCAATCTTGAAGAGCATCTACGTTGCGAGACCAAGACAACAGATCAGATTCAGGTGTTTGAAGTGTTGTACGCGTCTTTTCGTGATGCCCTTTACCATTTATTGTGTGCATGATCTCGTTCAACCCATATCCAATACTACACTATATGGAGAGCAGGTAGAAGTCTCCAACAGTGTAAGTCTCATAGGGGAAATCCTATCGGCCAGCGGTCTATGGTCTTTGCTTTGGCATCAAGCCTCTTCATCTAAAACAAACCTCTCACGACCTCGGTCGTCTTTAGAATTTCGAAGCTCATCTCGTACCCAGGCTCTCCAGGTTTGATCGCCCAGAATAGAGCGCACTCTCGCCTCCAACCACTCGGTATTGCCCCAGAACCCCCAGCTCGCCTGGAATCGGCACCAGTCCACCAGCGCACATTCCCAATGCCTGACAAAGTCATCCCATGGGTAGGACTCGTCACATTTCCCGTTCAGCAATGCTCTTCTATACCGCCTCAATAGTTCTTTCTCCCCGTCATCCATGGGGATCTGCCACTCATCTGAGCCAGTGATGAGCTTGAGAGGTACCGAACAGGTGAACAGCTTGGCCAGATCACACACCCCGAGTCCAAGGCCGACGTACTGAAAGTCAAAGAAGGCCACCTTGTTACCATCCACCGTAGTAAACAGATTCTCGGACTTGACGTCGCCATGGATGACGCTCTCGAAACCCCGTCCCATGGGCTTCAACACTTGGGCAACGGCCTCGGCGACAGTGCCTCCGAGTTCCTCATGATGATCGCAGAATGCTCCCGACCATTCCGAATCATCATCTGCCTCCAAGGAAGCATACTCTTCCAAGCGCGTGGCAAGGTAAGTGTATCCACCGTTCAGCCAGACCTTGGTTCCCCTATTCCCCTCCTCTCGCCGCCGAGCCTCCTGCAGCGGCGGGAGAACATACTCTCGCCTCTCGCCACCAACCCAAGCACTAGACTCGGCGTGAAACCTTCCAAGCCACGCTAAAGCAGCGTCTACCTGCTCGCTCGACAGGACGTCGCGCTTGCCCCCGGCAACAGGGTACTGAGGCCTCAGATCGGTCAGCACCATGGCGACGATGCCATCCAGGGCGCCCGCATCGGCTGCGCTCGAGGCGATGCACTTGGCGACGCCCACGTCATCTGACAGTTTCGGGGCGAGGTGGGTGTAGAAATGCTGCTCGACCTCGTAGCTCAAGATTTTTCTCAGATGGCCCTCGTCATGAAGCTTTGCCTTGGGTGGGCTGATGAGTTTGAGAACGAGAGGGATCTCCGTCTCCGGGGTGACAGGCGTGGAGAGCAGTGAGGAGACTGCAGCAGCTGCTTCGGGGTTATTGGCACGAGCGCGAACTGAGCATATGGTGCCGTAGCCAGCCCAGAGGGTTTGGAGGGGTCGGATGGAGGTGACGGAGAGGTTGAGGGGTGTGAGGAGGTTGCTGGCGATCTGCTGAGGGGAGGGCGCCATCTTGTCCCGAGAGCTTGGCAATGTTGCCGGGGAGTTCTGGTGACTTGGTCAAGACCGCAAACGCTTCGAGAGTGGCAGAAAGGAAGGTCGCGGCGTAAGGACCAAGTTGGGTCTGAAGCAAGTCGAGCAGGTGAAAGTGGGTCCTAGAGCCAAACTTGCGTCTCGTCAACACGGTGAAGCTGTCTAGGCTACGAGAGGATCACCATCGACGCGACCACGCCCCCTGAATAGGGAAGCCCAGGGAAGACAAGACGTCTACCTCCATGATCATGGTCAGGCATCGGAATGGCTTTTCCTTGAGCAGGCTGGTCAATCTTCTCTCGTATGCAGAGGCCGATTTCCTTGACCTGGCTTCTCCCTTAGCGTGAGTTCCTGTGCATCCTGTCGCCAGCCCTGGGTATCTCAATTGCACTAAGTACGCCGTCCTGCCTTCGATCACAGCAGTCCTCTATCACAGCAGTCCGTTCCCATCACCCACGTCTATATCCCCATAGAGCACCTCACAAACTCCTGCCAGCGGGACGTCCATAACGGCGTCGGTACCCTCGTTCCAAATCTCCTTCCAGTGCAGTCCTGGCCCTCCGTTTATCCTGCGGTCCCTCTTGTCTTTCTGTCTCCTCTTTGCACCGTGTCGTATCCTGCCCTTGCTGTCGATGACAGCCACCTGTGCCGTGTCGTCCACAATCGTCTCAACAGACGCCATCGGCAGCGTCATGACCTCGGTATTGTACGTCGCCAGCGCCACGTAAATGTACACCAGCAGCATCGTGATCCACGCCGGGATGGCGAGCGACCACCAGCGGTTCGGGTAGTAGTAGATGCCGAGGACGTGCAGGAAGGGCGACGGCAAGTACGACCACAGCAGGTAGACGAGGAAGCTCAGTGTCGAGAAGAGGTAGAGGACGAAACCATAGTATTCGTAGGTCGGCACCTTGGGCGAGGCGCGGGGCACGGGCTCAATGTCGTCGTCGGAGGGATCAGGCGTCGTTGGCCGCGAGGGGCGCAGGAGCGACGTCAGGGATGGCGACGGCGGCAAGGGCGTCGGCGGGCGTCCATAGAAGGGCGGCGCGAAGTAGTTGGTGAGCACGGGGAGAGGAGGGGATTCGTCGTCTTCGCTGCCGCTGAAGCTGCCGCTGTCGGAGCCGCTGAGGCTCGATGCCGTGAAAGAGCCATCGGAGAAGGTGTCTGGAGGAGCGCGGTCCTCATCTTCGGAGTATAGAGACATGGCGGGATGGCATGGCAGCTGCCAATGGGTGATTGCAGAGATGGGCGAAAGAGCTCTGGCTACCAGTGCCTTCTTCAGTCGCCATCAGTGAAGGTTGCCGAATGGGCCCGCCGCGAATGGGGCGCGACGAGCCCCATACAAACTAAGACACCAGAGGTAGGTCACTGCTTGGCTCGTTTTCTTTTTTTAGGTATCTAGGTATCTAGGTACCTAGGTACCTGATACACAACCCCAGAGTCCCGCTGCTTGCAACCACGACCGACACTGAGCCGTTCTGAAGTCGGGCAGGTACTACAATCAACGACTTCCTAGGAAGTCGGACACAGCCCACCAACCCCAGTTGCTTGTAACAATCCATGTCAGCGCGCTTATTAGCAACGAGAACTCCTATGCAGTCGGATGGCCCCAGGCACTTTCAGTTGCACCACCAGGTCCCCACCTGCGGTACACTTACCAAAGGCTTCCAATCTACACCTAACCCATACTTGTTCCAGTCAAAAGAGGTTCGAATACATAAGAAGAGGTCGCGCTGTGTGCACTGGCCGCGCGTCAAGCTTTAGCTTGACAAAACGATCAAAGATACGATGGTCCTGGCTCCAGCTGCCTGCCTGTAACTTGCCCCTTTTCTACGGCTCCGCAGGTTTATACGTCTCTTGAGCCACGCATCAACAGGTCGGCTATCACATACGTGCAGAGGAGTACATTTGTCTATGCGGTTGGTGACTCAACATGATCTTCTATAGATAGAAGAGAGGGCGCAGGATCCGTCGGTCGCAAAAGCGGCCGACGAGGGCGCGTAGCGACAGACGCGCCCATCTTGTTTCATCCACCTCTCACTCAGCTGAGATCGCTCGAGAAAGCGGGATTCGCTGAAAGCGGGATTCGCTGTGTTGAGCTTGGCAGCAACATGTTGGCTGCTTATGCGGCCAAGAAGGCGCATCATGCTCGCCGCGCGCGCTCTCTCACCTCTCTATAAGATCAGGCTGCGTCGCCATGTCGAGACACAGATGGACGCTTCTATATGCTCTATCCTCCCTTCTCTGACCTCTCCACGGTAAAATGCCCGCCAACGATATCCGTCTGCTCGCTCTCGACGGGGGTGGCGTCCGTGGCCTCTCCTCCCTCATGGTCTTGCGCAGCCTCATGGCCACTATTGACCCTGACCACCCGCCTAGACCCTGCGACTATTTTGACATGATCGGCGGCACCAGCACCGGGGGGCTGATCGCCATCATGTTAGGGCGCCTGCGCATGTCCGTCGACGAGTGCATCGCCGCCTACACCGCCCTATCCGACGAGGTCTTCGAGAAGAAGAATCACAGGATCAGACTAAACGGTCAGCTTCAAGGCAGATTCGATAGCGTGGCTCTCGAGCGGGCTGTCAAGAAGATCCTCGCGCGCACAAACCATCATGAGAATGTCCTGTTGAAAGATACTTCCGACTCGTGTCGAGTGTACGCCTCCCATTCTTCCACGTTCTACCCCATATCATCTACCTGCTAACCCTATAGATTCGTCTGCGCGACGAGCAAGGAGACGGCCGACACGGTATGTCTGACGAGCTATCGCTCCCCCAGATCGACACACCTGCTCGACTGCACTACAGTCTGGGAGGCCTGCCGCGCCACCTCGGCCGCGACCACCTTTTTCGATCCCGTCGCCATCGGCCCCTTTGGCGAGCAATTCGTCGACGGCGCCTTCGGCGCGAATAACCCCGTCGCCGCCCTCTGGAACCAGGCTAGGGACGTATGGGGCGACCGCCTGCGGGGCAACCTGCGGTGTCTAGTGTCGATCGGCACGGGCTTGCCCGCCCTTCGGCCGGTGCGTGATGACGCGCTAGGAATCTGGGCGACACTCAAAGTACTCGCCACGGAAACAGAAAAGACGGCGGAGCGATTTCGTCGCGATAAAGCCTACCTCGACGATGAAGGCCGCTACTTCCGCTTCAACGTCGTCCGCGGCCTCGAGGACATCGGCCTGGAGGAGTCGAAGAAAAAGGCCGAGATTGCGGCGGCGACGGGACGCTATGTCGCGTCGCAGGACGTGTTGAAGCACATGCGGGCATGTGCCAGGAGTATTTCGAGGAGACAATTCTAGTTTTTCTTGTATCTTACTTAGTTGTATACTGTAATATACGCTCGCTGGCCGTCTTGCTTGGTTTTTATACTTTGGCTTTGATAAGACGCTTATGAGCTTACACGGCGTGCCTGTGCCGGCCAAGTTCGTCGATAGGCCGTCCGACATTACCCGTCTAGAGAAACGCGTACCGCAGTCGCAGTCGCAACGAAAAGGAGGAGGGTCTTAGTGCTACATGGGCTCTGCGGCGTCGGCAAGACGCAGCTGGCCATTCACTTCATACGAACTCACCAGGCCGCTTTCGGCTCGGTCTGTCGGCTCGACAGCTGTTCAGAGGATCGGCCAAGGTGGAGTCTCGTTAGTTGTATGGGGAAGATTCCCGAGCAACGAAGCCGAGGAACGCAGCACAGAGGACTTGAAGTTGGCCACGAGTAGCCAGACGACCGCGACTGGCTTCTCATTATCGAGAACGTCGGTCTCGACCAAGAACAGTACGGGGTGGCGAGTGCGTACGATATAAACCAATGTATACCATGTGACCACGGACTGTAGGCCGACATGTCTCAAAGTCTTGCGGCGCAGATGTCCCGCTCCAATATATGAGTAAAAGAGCTTCTTCTAGGGTCCAGGTAGCATCTCGAGCTGAGGGGATCTAGTTACACTTCACCTTAACGGCACAACCAAAGGGGGACGAACCGCAGGTACAATGAAGCCCCAGTGATTGAGGGCACCGGGGGCTGTCTGTATCAAAAGTCAGCGTGTTGCTTTGATACAAGTTAAAGAGAATGCAGCGACAGGAAACAGTCTACCATCTAGCCTGAGATATCATTTCTGGACTGATTCGCCACTGGAGGGACAACAACACGTGCTGCCATCATGGTTGATGATGCTGCTTGCTCTATGAGCCCCATTTACTCGAACCGTCGACTCGATGATCGAACTTACTGCCAGGTGAGTGTTAGGTCGTCGGAGTCGTGTACTTACGGAGACACCTGGCTACTCGGAACACCGCGAAATAGGCACCACAGCCAAATCGGCACACCCAATGACCCCATCATCCCTCAATGCGGTACTCCTGGCACTGGATACTTCACTCAGCCGTGCTCGTATTTTGACGCGGCAATGTACACTTGGAATGGTGAAATGAGATCGTAGTCGTGCAGGTCATTAGTGCCATGCCACCTTACCCCTGCTGCCTCCTGCCCGTGGAGGAGCTCACGTCCTTCGTCTGTGAAGTCGAAATACAGGCAATAAAGCACACAGATAAGCTTAACTCTTAGCGGCACCCAGTCCAAATAAACTCGTCGACACATCGGACAGCATCCGCTTTGGGCGGAAGCTTCTGTGGCCGCGAGGGCATTCTTCTTGGCTTTGCCGCGTGGTCGTCTGATCACCATGCAGCCCACACGCTTGAGACACCCATCCATTGGGTACCACGCTCTGCTGTCCCCGCCATCTCCAGCCCCATCCTGTCATTAAGGTAGCGGGCTGTTTGGAAACGGCGATCATGAGACCATGTTCCTGTGCACGACAAGGAAGACGAAAGCTTCTTGCAGGATGACAAGGGACGACGACTGCGTTCCGACGAGAACCCATCACCCTGGGCAAGGTAACCGTGACGGTTCGGCGAGGCCCCGAGCCGAACCTGCTACGGCTGGGCATCCAAGCCAGGCCCGTGCGATGTGTTGTTGATCATTGAGTGATACCTTGAGGTGGGAGTAGAAAACGGTTGGCATCCCTTCTTTGCTCGCTGCTTGTGAATCTCCTCTTGTTGTTCTACAGGTCTGGTCATCACTCATTACTTCACTTCTCTTACTTATTTTTGCATCTCCCACGTTGACGTGGTTTGCCTCGTTCGTTACTATCACTCTTGCCAACTACAAGCGTCAACATTGGACTTCCTTTTCATTCATTAGCAACAAAAAACCAAGTCAAGACATAGATTCAAAATGAGGTCCTCAAGCGTCATCTCTGTTTTCATCGGACTCGCGGCGGCGAAGCCCGTGCCAGTCAGCCACCCGGTCGTCGAAGCCGTGGCACCGCACGTCGCGGCCAACGGCCCCTTCACCTTCACCTCGACGTACAACCTCATCGCGACACCGGACCGGGTCATCAACGCCGACAACGAGGTCGCCCCAGGCGAGGCGGGCTCCATGGGTTACTATAACTACGGCATCAACAGCGAGCTGGACATCATCTGCTACGTATGTTTGCTCACCTCACCCTTTTCTCTGGCGCCCCTGCTCCAATAGTCTCTCCCACCCGCAGCCAAGCTAACCCGTGTTCTTCCCCTCAACACAGAACATCACCCTCACAGGCGTGACGGGCCCCTACGACTCCCCCGCCGTGACAGCAACGCACATTCACGAGGCAGCCGAGGGCGCGAGCGGCCCCCCGCGCATCGCCTTCCCGAACCCGGAACCCGCCGACTCGGGCCCCGAGGTTGTCAAGCGCTCCTCAGGCTGCATCCAGGGCCCTTTTACGACGGGCATCGAGAACGAGGGCGTCGACACGGGCACGGGCTTCACCCTCGCCCAGATCGAGGCCAACCCGGAAGCCTTCTTCACCGATTCCCATACCGTCGTCTCCGTGCCCGGCGTTGTGCGCGCCCAGCTGCAGGCGAACGCCCAGCCTGCCGCCGGTGCCGGTGCCGCCGCGGGCGGTTGCTCGCGTCAAGTCGTTTCCGCGGGCCCGCCATTCGTATTTGTGTGTGTGGAGTAGAAAGATGAAGAAGATGAAGCACCAGCCTTGGGGGCTTCGCATCGGCAGGGTGGGAGGGGGCGAAAGTTGAACGAGGTTTCATGATGTTAGATTATCCTGCCGCGGCGATAGATGCCACTGCATGGGCCGGGTGTCTTGTCTTGCTGATAGAACTATTGCGGTTCGGCTGTGCTGGCTGCTTTAATTGATAATGACCGTGGTTTGAGCTAGCAATCTGTCTCGCGATATACTTCCTGAAGCATTTGCCTCGTGATGGTTTTCTATGTGAATATTGGTACCATGATGCATGCTGCCTGCATTGAGATTGGTCCAGTACCTCCGTATCGCTGAACTGAAAAGCTGAACACAGGGTCTTAGGTTTGGAAGTTATTTCATGGTAGGGGACTCACCGAACAATCAAATAAAAAGAGTCCATCAAAAGCTCACCCGGCCGATCAGATCTGGACAAATACACCGAAAAACCTCCAACATCACCTGATGACCACTGCATCCACAGAGGGTTGTTGGAGATCTCAGAACAAGGTAAGAGGGATTGAGGTATTCATGGATTAGAGCAGCAATGCTCGAACTACTATTCCGTCTAGTGGTATCATCTTGCGGAAATAACGAGAAGGACTGAAAAAGACAACGACAGATACCAAGCTCAAAAACAAATTTGCGGGGACCCAATATAAGGGACGGTATCGAACAAAAACTCGTCTGCCCAGTGCTAGGACACGCGTACAATCAAAGGGAAAGGATTAATCGGGGGTTGTCAAAGTTAAGTCAAAGTTAAGTCGAGATGATCCCTTCTCCCTGAGCAATCGGAAGCCCGCTTCAGCGTGATGCGTAGGTGGGATTAGGCGTAGGGCTCGTGGTGCCCTCCATGTTGCCCGTCAGCTCAGCAACGCGCGCCTTGATACGTGCGACTCGAGACTCGATAGCTGGACGAGTGTTAGCGATCGATCTTGCTTACTCCTGGGGTCAATCAGCTTACTCTCTTCACCGCTCGTGTCGTCATCGCCGTCAGTCGTCTTGCTGTAGCCACCACGGCTCTTCTCTTCGCTCTGTCGTTGAGCGGCACGTTCCGCAGCGTTCTTGCGGATCTGAGCCCATCGGTCAATCGCCGGGGGGACCTGCGGCTCCTCGGGAGCCCTCTGCACGGGAATCCTCCGGACCGGTGCCTCCTTGGCAGTGGGCGTCTCGGGCTCGGCGGGAGGTGACGTGGATTCCCGGCCGTGGCGGGCAATAGGGGGCGGCACTGCGTCCTCGGACTCATCATCGGGAACGAAGGCGGGTTGATCATCGAGAGGACCTTGGTCGAAACGGGAGAACTCCTGACGAGCCTCGTTGGCATCGGCAGTGTCAACACGAGACAAGGTGTCCTCATGTGGGCCCCTGGGGCTCTGGATCGGTGTTTGCTGCGGGTTCTCGAGCGGTGTGACGAAATCCTCGACAGGAGTCGGCGCCGGCATGGCGGGCTCGGGCTGAGCGGGTTGCGCCGGTTGAGGCGGCTGAACAGGCTGAGGCGTGGCTCTGCCAGTGTCAGGCACGGGCTGCTCTTGCTGTCGGAGGAGCTCGTTGAGATCCGTTGACGCATTCTCGGGCAACTTGGAGCTACGGCCCTTACGACCGAAGAACTTTCGGAGACCGCTGCTGGCAGATTTGTCCTTCTGCAACTTCTTGTGCTTCTTGCTGTCTTCAGGTTCAGGGGAGACCATGGCCTCCCGGGGCCAGTCTTCTACCGATTCCTTGGGGGGCGGCATTGGGGAGCTGCGCCCCGCCTCGCCACGGTCGGTGGGATGAAGGTCTTGGGGTGCTTCAAGCTCCTTCTCCGAGAGCTGGGGCTCTTCGTCATCTGATCTCCGGTGGCTAGAGCGCATAGCAGGTGATGGCTGGGGGAGCGGGGACGGCTGTGGCAACAAGGAGGGGGACTTTTCAGGTACCTGGGGACGCTGCTCTTGGTCGTGGTCGCTAGCAAAGCCGTTGTGACTCAGGGGGCTGCTGAAACCGTTGAATGTCGCCGACGATGTGATGTTCCCTCGGCCAGCGCCGTTGTTGTTCAGATACGCCTCGCGAATAGTGTCCTTGTCGTACTTGTTCGCCCACTTCATTGCTGGCGAAGCCTCCTTCATGATGACCGGCTGCAGCGTCATGATGCTGTTTGTCTTGTCCTTGAGTTGCTCGGGACCATTGCGGCCCCTACGTTCGAGAAGACGCTGCTGTTGCTCCTGGTTCTGCCGAGCTTGCAATTGTGCGGCGGCGGCGGCGATGCGGGCCTGCTGATCAGGACCAAGACTGGCCTTGCTCACCCCCACGGT